TTGTAGTTAGCCCAAGTGCCCTGCCGTTCCCAAGGCATCTTCTTGTAAAATTTCAGGAAGTAGCTTATTGCTACGATATTAATGATTCCTAAGCAGTCGTTTTTCTTCGACCTGCTTTGGATTTCCCTAATTGCGTCCTGTCAATAGAAGCAGAAATGGTAAATACACCCAACGACTTCGAAAAGGAGTGTCTGATTGTTGAAAGACATGCTATATTTGTTGGACTTCTGAAGCTATGACTTCCACACCTAATTGGTAACGAAATAATGCAAATTCGCATAAGTGATGCGTAGTCTACCGCCTGTCCTCTTTACTCGTCGAGCGCTCTTTTCAGTTGTCCCTTCGTGGTGCTCTGGAGCCTCTTTAAGCATACTCAACGATTACTTTAGGCCAAGATTGGATGGTAGTGTTTGTTGTACCGATGTTTAGCCACACAATCATTACCTAGCACCCTTTTACTCACGCCATTGTCACTGACTTTGAAGATTTCTGTGTTGTCTAGCTTTAAGATTTGAACCACTGTTGATAAGCCGACCGTAGTTTCTAAGTACTCATCGTATTTTTTGAGTGTCAACGTGCGTTCGTTCGCTCGCCTTCCGATGGAATTTTCCACAGTTAAGGTAAATGTACCTTTCTTCAATCAGCAGCAAATAAAGCCAACCTTCATGTTTCACGTACCCTTTTATAATTGGCTTTTAAGTCCTATCAAACGGCTTCGACCATTGATCTTCTGTTTGCAAACGAGGCCCCTCTGAGTAGTCCAGTAAGGTGGCCGATAGTTCACAAGCCGTTGGCGGATTTAAGCAGGCGCTGGGAAAAATTTAGCGTAAACACAGTCTATTCTTTTGTTTTGCATGGGCGAGAGCTAAAGTTTGCCAGCCTTAGTTTCAAAAATGTTTATCTAGACCACCTGGTACAGCATCCTCAAGAAATTGGACTGCGAGCTGACCTTAATGTTGTTGTTATATGTCCATCACTGTGCGATGTTGCCCGAGTGATGTATGGTTTCTTCTGGAAGCTACCATGATCGTTAGGCAAAGAAAGCCTAAAGTTTATATGACTATTCATGTTTTACTATATGTGTGCCCAAAATTAAATAAAGCTGACAATGTCTTACCGTCTTTCAGAAAATTCCCATCCACAAGCACTCGTTATTAGTAAGTAGCAATCTGCACATCACTAACTATGCGAGATGTAGACTCTCCATCCCATGACGCAAAAACACCCACATCCATCTTCTTATCTAGGAAAAATTGATGTATGCCAATCCACTGTAGTCGAATATCTCCATGTTGTTAAACTGTACTTTATTGATGAGGATGTTGTTGGATGACGAAGTAAATCAGAGTAAAACCTCCAAAAGCTAGCCTGGCTTTGGGAATCATCCAGCCAGTTACGGTAAATAAATCAGAAATGACAATTTTATTGCCCTTATCCCTGCCAATAAAACAATACGTTCATCAATAGCGTACTCAAGCAGAAAAACCAGAGATTATCCAGTTGACATAGGGCTAAGTATCACTGAAACCATACAAAACCTGTTATGGCGCATAGAGATAACATTTGCGCATTTTAAAAAGGTCGGATATTTTTAGGTTCACTGGCTGTAAGCCGTTTTCTAGCTGCATGTACTTGAGCTCTCTTTTATGCATTATATCAAGGCTTTTGAGCTATTTATAGTGCAGGCGGGTATCAAGGGTCAACAATCCCGTCAATGAGACTAGGGAGGATGAAACTTGATAGTTCAGAAGTATAAAATTCGGGGAGATTGCCTTGGATCAGAAGTGAGATAAAACCTCATCTAAAAACGATTTGATTTCCTACCTGGTATTTTATCGGCACATTCTTTATTTCCTATGGTTTTTCCTGCCACGGGGTCTGACCGTTTATAGGAAAGTTGTCATTGAAATATTGTGGGTTCAACAAAAAATGCACTTATTTCGTTTTCCTTCTTCTATTAGACATTTGTTTCCTAGCATACTGTGGTGAGCACTTCCAACTGTACTTTGGTTCCAATTTCCGTGAAAATTCGTGCACAATACGATGGTTCGATACCCTCAAATCGCGATGCCCCCGTGTGTCCGACAACGTGGTGGGCGCAGGAACGGTG